CATAAATTCACTGGCCTTCCTAAAGGAAAATCACCAAATATCATTAAATAATCCTTGATCATACTCATTTTGAGGAAGCTACACAGAATCGGCTGTGAGAACCACTCTATTTACACCTGCAGGTCAGGACACCTTCATGACTTCACATTTGAAATCATATTTACTTCTCTGATACAGATGGACAGTCTGCCACCATCAGCAGCTCTAGAGGTATCTTGTTTCCTCTGCTTTGGACAATAAACGCTGATCTTTTTGAATTGTGCCCCATGACCACCAAGAAACTTCTGTGTAGAAGACAGAGCCAATATTTTGTCAGATTGTGGTAGATACAGTCTCTACATTTAGTGAAATCATCCGTTAGTTTACTCATGATACAGTTAAAGCAAAAGAAACCAGGCAGTTTTATCAAGGCAGACACGAGGAGTTAAAATCTACAGAGATACATAACAAGTGTTATAACTCGTTTCCTCTTGGGATTGGGACAAGGAATGGGAATGAAGAGACTTTACTTCTTATTTTATATACTTCCATATTTTTTAGTTTTTTCTACAATAAATGCTTTTTACTTTTGTAATTAGGAATAAAAATATGCTGCACTGCCTGGCCCCAATTGCAGATTAAATCATAATCTCAAGGGGTCAGAGTCTAGCAACTGTGTTTATTAAAAGATACGCCAGGTTTGAGAACACAGAATACAGATATTACCCAGGTTTGAGAACACAGAATACAGATATTACCTTAAGACATACTTTATTTTTTAGAATAAATTGTATACTTTTTGTATTCTTTGATTTCTGCTGTAAGACTGATTTGTAGGGGGCCACCAACATTGCATCAAAAAACAAACATTGTAGTGTACGATGAATCAAAATGTATTCTGCTGTCATATATACCTAATAGTTAATTTTACAAAATCAAAGATTGTAGATTAAATGTACAAAATTAATAACAACGTCCCATTTTAACATTCTACATATCTAGTACTTTAGATTTGATGTTTCAGTTTTATTTTGAGGGCGTTCTACAAGTACCATATTGAGATATAGAACCCTTGTGAGTTAACCCTTGTCTTTCTTTTTTAAAAAAAAAGTATCCATATATTTTTAATTCTAATTATTTTATTGTAACAATTTTACAGAATTCTGTCTTCTGTACTATATTTTCAAAGAGACAGCAACACTTGATTTTCAAAAAGATAATAGTATTTAAGTGGTAGAAGTCAGAAGGGGGCAGTTACTGTCAGTGTAGTTTTAAATGTGAAAAATATCTGATATTTATTAATCAGTAGAAAATATTACATAATTTATGTCTAAATTGCTGTGGTAAGAGTTCAAAAAATAAGAGCTAACTCTTTTCTGAAATAAAGATTATCTTTTATTTATTTAAAATGGATAAGAATATTAAAATTTTTGAAGCTGTAACAAATGTGTAGAAATGTTCTACCTAATTTGAATATACTATACAATTCAAAGCATCTACTATTTCTTATTAATTAACAAATGCTTTTCTATGTATTGTATAATTCTACAATGAAAGTACTAATCTAGATTATTGCCCAAATCTTTTGATGGAAAGTTAAATCTTTGTTCTTGGTTGTTTTGAATTAATGAAGTTTTATATTAATATGTACTTCCATAAAATGTATTAAACCCAGCTGCTTAAATTATAGCTATAAAATATTAGATCATTTTACATTGCTTTGCTCATTGTCTTTTAAAATGCCATGTAATTTTTATGCTGAATAAAGGCTGATTTATGTATTGTGATTCTACTAATTTATTTATTAAAGATAAATGAGTTTTAATGCTGCATTGCATGATTTAGGCTTTCTGCATATCATTCACATTACTGTCATGAGCATGAATTTAAATATTTTAGATTGCCTTATTATTTTGGTATGCTTTTCAAAATTAAGAATACAAAAATAAGTATATTTAAATATTAAACTGCATGATAATGTCTTCTGCATATAGCTTATATTATTTTCTTGAGTATAGATTTAAAGACTAATTATACATCCTAAATTGGAAATTATTATTTTGGAGTTCTTTCAAGGTAAAGTATATTATAATACAGTAAAATATTTAAGCATATTTTAACTGGAGAAGTTTAAAACTGTTTAGATTTTAAATGCATGGCTATTATATGTTACTGTGATATTTCATTCATTCATTTTAATGTCATATTTCTTCAAAAGTTCTTTCTTAAATATTGTAGTCAGATTAACACAATTTGACACTATTGTAGTCAAAGTGACACAATGGAAGATTATTGACTCAGTGAATTTTTAAAGTAGATATTGCAGAAAACAAAATATTTACATGCTGTGAAATGGTTGACTTCCTGACTAACCTAAGTGCACACTCAATTAGAGGGTAGGAGATTCAGGTTCATTGCCTGCCCAAATGGTGCTTGTGTGCAAGAAAGAAAATTATGCCCATTCTTTTGAGGTGGACACTATCTGTACCAGGGCAGACACTTGGAGAGCAGAACGCTAGGTCGATTTTAGACCCCATGTAGTCACGTGCTGATAAATATCTTTGAGAATATCAACCATAATCTCACATAAAATGAACACTTTTCCCAACTTTCCCACATATACTCTAAACAGTTCTTACTAGAGATAACTAGGCATCACCATGGGTTGCGCACCTGGAAATGACTAATGCTGAACTTGGGAAGAGAATGGCTAGAGTTGCTTTTTCTACTTCAAGAACCAGCTGGCTGGGAAGAGAATTGCTCTACTATTCACACATCAGCGTTCCAAAACATTTTTGTTACCTATTCTATTTTTATTGTATTTTATATAATTCTATAATTTTTATATTATTATTATATTTTATTATATTTTCTCTAGGATGTCCTTAATATTTTTTTCATCCTGATTATCCTTGCCTAAAATGGTGAGAAGTCACATGGAATAATTCTTACTCTATAAGTATGGCCTTAAATGCAGCTGCGTCATTCTCATGTTATTTCTACATTTGCAGGACTCATTTCAGACTCTAAACCATGGGTTCTGGTGCCTTTGAGAGGAATAGGGAGTTGCATTGCCTAGATTCATAGCCTTACCATTCCCTCTTGGCTCTAAACATAAAATAACCTCTGAAATCTTATATTTGCGTAAAAATTAATGAGTAGAATTCCTAAACTTTGAACAGGTACAGTCACTTCTTTGGAAATAAATTATAACATTGAATATCTATGCCAGTTGTATCATTTCTCACCAGTGCTTGACTGTTTCCATAAAAGCATATGCTAACTTTTATAATTAATCCTGATTTATAATTTTATCCAAAACCCTTCCTAATGATCCACCTAAGCTCACTGCAGTCTATGACTATTTCCTGCTGCTTTAAAGGAAGATAGCCACTTGCCTTTGGCATTTCCAGTTCCAGTGGGTTTTCTTTCCTCCTTTCTTGCTTTGCATTTCTGGTGAGACCCTACCCTTTCTCTGCCTTTCCTTGTAAGACATGTGAGGCAACTTACATCTGCCATCCTGCAATGAAAGGAAGGTCTTTCCCATTATACAAACTCACTTTAAAGTTTCCTCTTTCCTTGGCTTTCTTGGCCATGGAAACAGTTTTACTATCCATAAACACATAGGATGTCTTAAGATATTTATGGAACTTATGGCTTTTTATCTGGTTCCCCTAAATTCTTGTTCTCAGACTTTTAGAGTATGGTTGAATTACATTGTTTCAAGTTTAGTAGTCTTACATGAGAATATAAATAGATCAAATTACATGGTTTCATCAAATGCATATATGAATATGTACAATATATACATATATGATTTTTATTCTTATAAAATATTTCATTTTAAGTATATTAAAACTTCCAAACAATGCTAACATATTAGGGCTGATGTTTGTTTTCAAAAGGAGTAACAAATCAGTTTTCCATAGTGAAACAAAAGCACCTGATGTTAATGTAAAAATATAATTCCAGGATTAAGGGATGTTTGTGAACTTATTTGTTTGTTTGTTATGATACTAGGGATTGAACTGCCCTGGCACTGGCACTGAGCTACATCCACAGCCTCCCCTGGCCCCTACTTTTTTTCTTTTTTTAAGACAGAGTCTTGCTAACTTGCTGAGGATGGTCTCAATTTATGATCCTCTTGCCTCAGCCTCCCAAGGGACTGTGTGACTGTGCCTGGCATGTTTGTGATTTTTTTAAAAAAGCTTAAAGGCTTTCAAATCATTTGAATTAAATCAAAATGCAAAAATTTCAAAAATGAAATTCAAAACAATGTTTAAAGCAATGATTCTAAATTATAAGCTGATAAATCTTTTAAGGAGTAGGTCTTTAATTCTCAAACAATTTTAGCTTATTTATTGAATTGTTCATGTCAGAAGCACCAGCCCTTTTTATTTTTTATTTTGAGATAGGGTCTCACTAAATTGCTTTTAGGGCATTGCTGAGTTGCTGAGGTTGGCTTAGAACTTGAAGTCCTCCTCCTCAGCTTCCAGAGCTGCTGGGATTACAGACATGCACCACTGTGCCTGGCTTCAGGAGCTGTTCTAGATGACTCTGTAGTAACACAGGTTCTAACACAGTGGTGAGGTGTAGATGCAAACACATGACAGAGCTAGGATTTTGGCTCAGTCCACAAAGCTTAACTATTTTACTTTACTTCTTCACAAATAATTGCACTTAACTTTTCATACTATCTCCTTGAAATGACTATGATCTTATAAATATGTTATTTCATATTACTAATTTTTATTATGTTGCAGCAGGGGTGTTCATTGAATTTCTAAATATAGGCTATCATGTTCCTTAGATAGTTTACAAACAAGACATCTACTGAAAATAGAATTTTAAATGAAGATAGCTCAGGATTAGATTTTACTATAAAGCATTTTAAACTTTCTTAAGAGAATTATTTTATAAAATGTTTTTGAAATGCTTTCAGCAATGAAAGGAAATGAGATTAGCAATGTGTGAGATATGCCTTGTATTTATTCTTCATTGTATGCCATTCTGTGGTGTAGATTTCTTTGCTGAAACAGAATCTGGAAATTCAGCTTTCCCAGTCTCAAACTTCTTTGCAACAACTGCAAGCTCAGTTTACACAAGAACGACAAAGACTTACCCAAGAGCTTGAAGAATTAGAGGAACAACATCAGCAGAGGCATAAATCCTTAAAAGAAGCGCATGTTCTTGCATTTCAAACCATGGAAGAAGAAAAGGAAAAGGAACAAAGAGTAAGTTTAATATGACATATGTTCAAACGTAATTAACCTTCAAATTCTTAAGAATTTTTTTTTTTTGCCCCAAGGCATTATGTATTATTTTTATTTAAATAAATTTTCCAGGATGTGACTTCCTATGATGATCAGAATGATTAAACATATACACTAATCAAACACTACACTAGACTAGATTGGGGCCAACATTTTATTTGTTTCTGAGCATAATGCTAAAACCCATACACTCTCTAGTTTGTTATATATTATGATTTTTTAAAAAAGCTAAAGAAGAAATAAATTCAATTAACCTTTTTAGCATGGTTCTGCTAAATATAACAATTCTAATCATTTAGTACTCTTTGTATTTGTAATAGTCTTCCTTCAAATTTTTAATTTTTGTCTTTGAGTCTACAAAAAATAAGGGTATCCAAAGGATTTATAATTTTTATCCCAGTTTATCTTCACATTCCTTTTTTCCCCATGTACAAAAAATTCATAAACAGAGAAATTGGAAACATTTCAAAATATTATAATTTTCTTATATTTATCCAAAGGTTCTATGGAAAGTAGTGTGACACCAACAACTCAGACAGAAGGGATTTAAATCAAATTGATACATTATTATATTAATCATATTACATGCCTGAATCTTCATGTATTCACTACTCAGTTTTGTGTTAAAATATTAGTTTGAAACAGTCCTAACACTATGTTTTTCAATTTCTTTCAAGGACCTTATTTTAATGAAGACAAAGATTTGATAGAAGAATACAGTTTAGATAGATTGTTTCTTAATCTTTTGACAAATACAAGCACTACTTTTAAAAAAAATTTTTTTTGTAGTTGTATATGGACAGCATGCCTTTATTTTGTTTATTTTTATGTGGTGCTGAGGATCGAACCCAGTGCCTCACACATACAAGGCAAGTGCTCTGACACTGAGCTGCAGCCCCAGCCCACAAGCACTATTTTAAGAAATGATATGTTACAAAAAGAGGTTGCTCACAAAAAGAACTTATTTCTTAAAAAAAAAAAAAAACAGTTAACTTGCTGTGATCTATGGATTTTGTCCAGAAAGTCAAGGAAATTTCCTTTTTTAAAAAAAATTATGCCTGATTGCAAACAGTCTATTCATTGGATACCGCTTGTGAACTAGAATAACATATAAGAGTTCTCATATCAGTAATTTAATTTCACACAGTCTTGTATCACTTAACTTGAATCCTTTCTCAAAGAAAATTAGAACCTACAATTTTATTGTATTCATTAGATAGGCAAACTACCTAAGTAGCATACATCCTTTATTTTACCTATATTAAAAGAAACTCAGGGCTGGGGTTGTGGCTCAGCAGTAGCATTCTCACCTACCATGTGCATCGGGATGCTGGGTTCGATCCTCAGCACCACATTAAAAATAAAAAATAAAGGTGGGGCTAGGACTGTAGCTCAGTGGTAAAGTGCTTGCAGCAAGTATGTGTAAGGCACTGGGTTCGATCCCCAGCACCACATAAAAATAAAGATACTGTGTGTTCATCTACAACAAAATAAATTTTTTTTAAATAATAAAGGTAAAGTGTCCAACTATAACTAAAACAAAAAAATTTAAAAAGAAACCATGCCTTATTTTTCAGAAATAAAATATTCTAAGACAACATAAGTAGTCAATTGCTAATTTTAAAAAATAGTATTTTAGGGCAATGGTTAGAGAAATGTAGCCTTATTATAATCTTTTGTAGGATTGCTTCATTTTATAAATCATGGTAAAACAAACAAACCCTTTCGAACAGTTCAGTCTCTTAAGTTTGAAATACTCTGAGTTCTTCGTTTTCCTATGGCATATTTTTTCTCTTATGCCACTTGTTGTGGTCTGTTCTTTCTGGCTAGGATTTTTAAACTAATCACATGGAAGTCTTTAGTTTACTCTCCTATCTACCTTCTCCCAGGAGATTTTGCTTCTTCACACAAATGCAGGAGCAAAGATTGACTGTTAAAAAAAAAAAAAACCAGCTACAAGCTCTTTGATAAGTTAAAAAAAACTTCCATTGGAGGCCGTGCTGGGCCTCAAGCCAGTGCAGGGCACACTCTGATATGTGCTCCTGCAGCCGCCTGCCATGCCCCTGATGAGAGGGACGAGGGCTGCTGCAGAAGGCCACAAGAACATGGAGGCCATGCAGAGCTACAGGCCTGAGTTGAGCCATCTGCTGGAGGAGCAGCAGGAGGTGCAGAGACAAGTCAAAGAGAGTGCATCACAGACAAGGGATGTCCTCAAACCACATTTTAATGATTTAAAGGGAACCTTTGAGAAGCTCCTCAATGAAGGATTGGTGACCCTTTTGCAAGAGGTGGACACCATTGAACAAAACACCATTAAGCCACTAGATGACTGCCAGAAGCTCATTGACATAGAGTTAACACCGCAGAGGACTTTGTGTAAGAAAGTGAGATTGCCGTTCTTGGTGGTATAGAAGAACAGAATGAGAAACTGTGGAGCTTCACCACAAAGGCCTCACACAGACAGTTGGATAGCTTACCAGAAGTGCCTTTACTGGTTGATGTGCCTTGTTTATCTGCTTAGTTGGATGATTCAATTCTTAACATATTAAAGATAACATTTTGAAGCATGGAACAGTAGCATCTCTCCCACCAGTGCAAATAGAAAAACGAATAGAGAAACCTGAAGGCATCATAGAATGATGGCGTAAAGTGCATGACGATTTTGCAGACTAAGATTACAGGCTTCAGTTCTGAAAATGCTCTTCAAAACATTTTGAAGTTATATATGTAGATTCTGAAACTGAATTCATAGTATTGCACATAGACCCCAAAGTTGATTATCAGTTTGGAGTCTGCATCTGAGAAGATGTCCAACAGGAGTGGAGTCCATGGAGCATCTCCCAAATAGGTCATTCTACATTGGTGCCTCATGAGCAGACAACTGGCTTTGAGGGATACCGCCTGAGCATTTGAAGAAATATAGCACTCCGGAATGATTCTGAATCCTCAGGTATACTCTACTCCAGCACTCCAACCTATATCTGTGGGCAGACATTAACATTCAGAGTTGAAACTGTGCCAGACAGGAGATGGTATAGGAGTATGTGCAGAGAAGCAGAACAGATATAACTCTGCAGCGAGATCAGGCTACATGCATTAGTACCAATGGTGCAGTTTTTGTAAATGCACAAGAAATGACTAATAAGTTGCCTGCAGTTGCCTCTGGATCCACTGTCACATTTGACATCGAAGATGTGACTCTGGGAACTACTGATAATAATGAAGGCAAAAACTTCAAGCTCCAAACTATTAGCTCAAATTGTAGAGAAGTGGTTTTTGATTGGTTGCTTGATCAGTCTTGTGGTTCTCTTTACTTTGGATGCTCATTTTTTTTTTTTTTTACTTTTTATCCTCGATGGAAAGTATTCATGTTTTAAAGTTTTGGATGCTTGGCTTGGTTTACTGTCTCTGTCCTCAACCCAGTTAGGTTTTTGTTGTTGTTGCTATTGTTTAAAAGTTAAATTAATCTTTCAGGCCATGGGAAATGAAAAGTGTCTACTGGAATCACTTTGCAATGTTTTAGCCAGAAGAGACTTGAATGGTGTGGACAAAGCCATAATTCAGTGAATTTTGTTTTTATAATACTATTAATAAAAATAGCAAATTACAATAAAATAAATCAGCTTTAAATATCTGGGAAGATAACAAAGTCCTGTGCCCTTCCACTGTACTTCTTAAAGTTGGTTAATGTAACATTTTATTAAATCTCTTTCAGCATCCAAGGCCATGTGAAACTTTAGAATAGAACAGGAGCAGACCAGATAGAAGCCAAAGTTCTGTAATATTCATTCACTTGTTTTTTCCACATGAGTACATTGACTGTGTACTGTATATTCAGGAATTTGAAAGCAGTGTTGGCTTTTATCCCATTTTCAATAATCATTAAGTCTAAAAAGCTTTATGAATTTTGCCTTTTTTTAACAGTGCCTGAATAAGTGCCTATAATGGGCAAGTATTATCTTTTGTTCTTTCTTTGCAGTCTGATTCAAGATAGGATAGAAGATGCAGGATGCAGTGGTTCACAGCTATAATTCTAGCAAATCGAGAAGCTGAAGCAGAAGGATCACAAGTTTGAGGCCAGCCTTAGCAACTTAGTCAGACCCTGTTTCAAAATAAAAAGGGCTGGGAATGTGGCTCAGTTGTAGAGTGCCCTGGGATTAATCCCTAGTATTGTTAAAAAAGAGGATTTGTACAGGGTGAAGCTACTTAAAAGTAGTAAATGCAGCAGTGTTAGCCATTTCACAAGTATATGATATGCACATGTGTGCCTCCAGGGTCAATGATATGCATATTACTATTTGTAGTTATGAGCTACAGTCCAGTTAATGTCAGTTTGATAAATGGTCTATTAGTGGACCAAAAAAATACAGGGTAAATACTTGACTGATTTTTTTGAACTTAAATTTATGTAAGATATTTATTTGAAGGACTTAATATGAAAAAATAATAGTCATAATTTGATATACTAGCTTGTAGACTTTTTTAAAATTTGAAAAGCAATTTTTTTCATTTTTACAGGTAGTAGAAAAATGGAAAGGCAAGCTTGATTATTTTTGTAAGATAATTTATTTCAGAGCTCATGTTCCCTGTTAGATAATCATGACCAATTTTCTCCTTGCCTTTTTATATATAAGTGCCTTTCATATGTTTAGTGACTATAAAGAGGTTCTAGGATATAGACACCTTGCCCAGCCATCTGAAATAAAATTAAAAACTCAAAAGTTAAAAAAAAAAAGCTTTCATTGCTCTTTTCCGACAAGAAGGGTATCTTTTCTTGGTGATGCTTTCCTCCTGTTCTTTTCTAGGTCTGAATGTGCTTACAGAAGAATTGTCTATTAGTTTTAGGTAATTTAGAACCCTTAGCAGCTTTAGAAAATTATTTTATTTGAAAACTACCATAGGTAAAAGGTTCATATTTCCAATTCAAACAAAATATGTTTATTCAAACTGGTTTGGTGGTGATTCTTATTCTACTAGACTGAGCCTACTATTTTTTTCTAATGGTGATTATCTTATATTTAATTTTCTTGAAAATGAACTAAAAATACCTGTACTTCTTAACTAGTAACTGAGTTTTAGTAAGTATTTCCTGTCTTATTTGCATTTGTTCCCTATATTCTAATATAATTATTTTAAAATTTGCTTTTCCTGTCCAGGCTCTTGAAAATCATTTACAACAGAAACATTCTGCAGAGCTTCAGTCATTGAAAGATGCACACCGAGAGTCAATGGAGGGCTTCCGGATAGAGATGGAACAGGAACTTCAGACTCTTCGGTTTGAATTAGAAGATGAAGGAAAGGCTATGCTTGGTATTTTGGAAGGATTATAATTTGTCATATTTATTTGTATATTTTTCCATTTAAGATTCATTGTGAAGTAACACTTTTATTTTTAAATTTTGAAGCATCAAAATAATATCGAAATGCATAGCATATTTTATTTAAAAAGTCAAGTGAGGTAGAATAGAAAGTTTACTCAGATTTCTCTATACTCTGGCTATGAAAGCAATACTCATTGATACTTGGGACTGAGTCAGGCATCTCAGAATTCACTGTCTAATGGACAGAACCATGGAACCATATATCTTTTAACTACATAGTCATATTGATTTTTCCACTTCAGGATTTTCTTTTAATGATTAGGTCTGCCTTTTTGCCAAGATATATTTTATATGGGGTTTAAATCTACAGAATGGATCTTTTCATAGAAAGAAGTTTAGTTTTAAAGAAAAACTATATATATATATATATATATATATATGTGTGTGTGTGTGTGTGTGTGTGTGTGTGTGTGTGTTTATGTTGTTTTTGTTTGTTTGTTTATTTTTAGTGTCATTTGGCAACTTGTTATTCCCACCATCCCATTTTCTACTGTTTGGTTTTATTCTAAATTCTACTAATATTTTTATTGCATGTTTGTCACACTTCAGTGCATATTATTTCCAAGTAGGAATTGGGAGCAAACAAGAACAAAGTGTTATAAATATTTTGGGCCTCAAAGGGAAAGCCATTTGACCCTCTTCTTCTCTATTGCTACTGGAAGTCTTTGGCCAAGTCATTACAGTTCTCTCTCCTTTCTACTTGAAAAGACACTGTGATAGCTAGCACTAAAAGCATATTAAGTATGAACTTTTACTAAAGGTCTGTGAAGTACCTGAGTATATGCTAGAGATTTTGCTAAGCAAAGAGAACTAAAAAATGAACTCATGCTCTGAATTTGCACAGAGCTGATTGTCAAAAGCAGAGGTGGCCTTTATATAATTATGGCCAAAGGGGGTGTATATAGCCATATCACCGTGAATGTGCCCAATCTTATCTTTTCTTGGAAGCCAAGCAGAATAGGGCATGACTAGTACTTGAGTGGGATATTTCTGGCCAAAGGGGAATACACAGTTCCACAGCTATGTGAGGAGAGTTTTACAGGCCAAATATTGTAACTATTAGGTTTAACCCATTGAAACATTATTTAAATATCTTTTTAATGACAAGGAGTTTTGAGTTTTTCAAAAAATGTATTTATTTTAAGGTAATTATAAATTCACATGTAGTTTTAAGGAAGAATACAAAGAAATTCCTTGTACCCTTTATCCAGTTGCCCTGTGGTGACATCTTTTAAAACTATAATATAGTAATATATGTAAAATATCATATTATAATAATGATATAATCACTATATTGACATTGATACTATCAAGATACAGAACATTTGCAGCACTATGAGAATTCTTCTTGTCTATTTGTAGCCTCACCTACTTCTCTCTCCTTCCTATTTGTAATTTCTGACAACCATTGATCTATTCTCCATTTCTATAATTTTGTCACTTTAAAATACAACCAGTTTTATAAATGGAATAATACAAATATTTAACCTTTAGATACAGGCTTTTTTCACTCAGCATAATTCTCTGGAATCAACAAGGTGGTTGTGTGTATCAGTAAGTTTGTTCCTTTTCATTGTTGCATATTATTCCACAGTAAGAACATACCATTGTTCATTGTCCTTCACCTACTGGAAGTCATCTGTGCTTTTAGTTTGGGCTGTTTCAAGTAAAGCTTCAATAAACATTATTTAGCCACCCACCTTTACTTCCAGTGGTGCTTCCTGGAGCCAACATAGCCATTATAGCTTGTGAAGTGCTGAGGTGCTCTTAGGTGGCTCAACCTCTATGGCTCTGTGACCATCAGTGACTATGTGCATGCTTTTTAGGAGGGATTCTGGTAGACTCCAGAAGTCAGGAAATGGGGCCAGTGACCTCTGAGGATGTGGCTGTGAACTTCACCCAGGAAGAATGGGCATTGCTAACTGGTTCCCAGATGAAGCTCTACAGAACTGTGATGTAGGAAACCTTCAGGAACCTGGCCTCTGTAGGACAAAAATGGGAATACCATAACATTGAAGATGAATACAGAAATCCCTGGAGAAATCAGTCAAATGGGAGAGAAGACTCAATGAATATAAAAAAAAAAGTAGACAATGTGAAGCAATGTTCAGCCAGATTCCAGATCGTATTCTTAACAAGAAAACACTTCTTGGAGTAAAGCCATATGAAAGCCACATGTGTGAAGTGGTTGTTTGGTCATTCATCCCTTAAGAGGCACATCACATCTGACTTTACACATGGATGATGAGTTGGTGTCCTTTGAGAATATGGCTGTGAACTTCACTGTGGACAAGTGGGCTTTGCTAGATCCCTCCAAGAGGAAGCTCTACCACAATGTGCAAACCTTTAGAAGCCTCTCTAGGAAAAGAAAGATACCACCAGACCAATGAAGATTCATGTAAAAATTCTAGGAGAAATCTAAGTCAAGTGTTAGGGATACTCTGCGAGAGTAGTGAACATGAAATATCTTGAGCCAAACTCCAGATTGTATTGAGAACAATACAACTCTTCCTAGTGTAAAACATGTGAAAGCTTTGAGTGTGGAGAAGTCCTCATTGGTGATTTATCACCAAATATGCTTTCAGATCTCACACTGGACATAAACCATATGAATATCAGAAATATGGGAAAGCTATTATTTATCACCAGTGCTTGCAAAGCATGGGAAGACTCAGAGTGGAACACCATGAATGTAAGCAATGTGAGACAGTCTTAACTTGTCCCAGTTCCCTTCTAGTACATGAAAGGATTGACACCGGAGAGAAACCACATATATGCACACCATGTGATATAGCTTTCACTAATCACAGCACTCTTCAATACCATGAAAGGGTTCACAGTGGCAGAAAACCCCATGGATGTCAGCAATGTGGGAGACTCTTTAGTTGTTTTACTAGTTTGGGAAGACATGAGCAAAATCACAATGGAAGTAAACCCTGTGGATATAAGCAATGTGAAAAAAATCGTCTTTTCTTTGAGTCACTTGCAAAGACATGAAGGAACTCACAATGGACAGAAACCTTATGTGTATGAGCAATGCCGGAAAGCCTTTCATTTTCCCTGTTCCCTCAGAAAACATTGAAGAACTCACATTGGAGAGATACCCTATGTATGTATGGATTGTAGGAAAGCCTTCAGTGACTCTTTTTTTTTTTTAAGAGAGAGAGAAAGAATTTTTTAATATTTATTTTTTAGTTTTTGGTGGACACAACATCTTTTTTTTTTTTATGTGGTGCTGAGGATCGAACCCAGTGACCCGCGCATACCAGGCAAGCGTGCTACTGCTTGAGCCACATCCCCAGCCCTTCAGTGACTCTTTTATAGACATAATGTAATTCACACTGGACAGAAACCCTATGTATGTGAACAATGTGGAAAATCACTCGGTTGTCTCAGTTTCCTTAAATTACATGAATCAGTTCACACTGGAGAGAAACCCTATGTATGTAAGCAGTATGGTAAAGCCTTTAGTTGTTCTAGTTCCTTTTGAACCCATGGAAGAATTCACAATGGAAAAAAACATATGAATGTATGCATGGTGGCAAAGCCTTTAGTTATTCTTTTTCCCTTAAATATCATGAAAAAACAATCACTAGGGAGAAACCCTCTATATTCAAGGAGTTTAGAAGAGCCTTTAATTCTTTCTGTTACCTTAAAATATGTGAAGGGATACCCAATGGAGAGAAATGCTATATATGTAAGGAATGTGGAAAAGCTTTCAGTCAAACCAGGAATATCATCACACATCAAAGGACTCACCCTGGAGAGAAACCCTATGTGTGTAAAGATTGAGGGAAAGCCTTCAATGAATCTAGTTCCTGTCACAGACATAAAAGAATTCACACTGAAGAAAAACCCTATGTATGTGAACAATGTGGAAAAGTATTCACTTATTTCAGTTCCCTTAAATTACATGAAAGAACTCAGACTGGAGAGAAACCCTATGTATGTCAGCAATATGGAAAATCCTTTGGTTATTCTGGTTCCTTTTGAGAACATGCAAAAATTCACAGTGGAATAAAACCTTATGTCTATAAACAGTGTGGGAAAGCCTCTAGTTCCTTTCAAAAACAAAAGCACTCACACTGGAAAGAAGCCCTATGTATGTATGCAATGTGAGAAAGCCTTTAGTTCTTCTTTTCCCCTTCAAAATCATGAAAGAATTCACAGTAGAGAGAAACCCTATTATGCAAGGAGTATAGAAAAGCCTTTAGTTCTTCCCATTGCATTAAAAATTGAAAGAACTCATACTGGAGAGAAACCTTATATATGTACATAGCATGGAAAAGCATTTAGTTGGTCCAGTCATGTTCTCAGACATCAAAGAACTCACACTGGAAAGAAACCCTATGTTTGTAAGCAATGTGGAAAAGCCTTTATTTCTTCTAGATATATTAAAATACATGAAAAAAACCACAAATCCCATGTATATAAACAATGTGGGAAAGCATTCAATCCTACTATGTTCTCATAGATGAAAGAACTCATGGGAAAGTAATCCTGACCAAAGACTGTGGTAAGACTTCCTCCTATCAAACATGAACAGTGAAGATAACTCATATTAATGTAAAGTATGTGAGGATGCCTGCAGTCACTTTGTCCAGCATATACATATAAATGAACGTAGTACGGAAAGAAACATGAAATAGAAGAGATATGCAAAGCCTTCAGTTGACCCATGTATAAGTATTTGCACCTAACAAAAAGTCTGTGAATGTGAAAAGTACAAGAAAATTGTCATTTAAAAAAATACATAAATAAACAATTATGTGTAAGTTTGTATATAAACATAAGTTTTCCTTTCTCTGAGATAAATTCCCAGGGCTCAAGAGTGCAATTGCTGGGATACATGTTAGTTACATGTTTATTTTTTTAAAAAAACTGCCAAAATGTTTTCCTGAGGAGCTATGTCATTTTGTACCCCACTAAATATTGTATGAATGACCCTGTTCCCTCACATCCTAGCCAATCTGAGTATAGTGATAGTTCATTGTGGTTTTAATTTGCATTTTCCTTATAATGATACTGAACATTTTTGTGTTCTCATTTGCCATCTGAATATTTTCTTTTATAATTGTTTATTTTTATTATTGTTTTGAGCATTCTTCATATTGTAGATACTAGTCTTTTGTCAAGCTCCTTCAGGTCTGTTTTAGCCCCATCATTCCACTGAAACTGTTCTTCCTGAGGTTCCCATTGACTTTTGAACATACTATTATGACTTACTAGATGTCACCTTATTTTCCCTGTGTGCAACCTGTGAGCCCTTAGACCATCTCCTTCTTGAATCTTTTTCCCCTTGATTGATGTCTATGAAGGTTTATATACTCATGGTATTCCTATTTTTTTGACATCTACCCTATAATCTCATTTACCATTTCTGTTTCCTCATGTATTATTAAATATTGCCATTTCCCAAGATTTAGCCCTAGCTGTCTTGTCTGTTTTCTAGTCTTCAGACTTTCCCTCATTGACTGAATTCATTTCCCTGGCGTAAGCCACCATCTGTGTGCTAGGGGCTCCAAATTTGTACTTCTAGACCTAACATCTTCTCTTGTACACAGATTTATAGTTCTTACTACATGTTAGATAATCCATCTTCTACTCAGCAATTTAAAATATGAGCTCACTGTCTCCCTACAAGCCAAAATGCATTTTCATTCCTGGACCTCCCACTCTAATTAATGATATCACCATTTACTCAGTTGCCAAATCTTAGAAAATAGAGCTTCATTTAATTTTTTTCTCTTTCACTGCCTCATCCTTTTTGTCAGCTCCTCTTCTTCAGTGCTTCTTAATCTCTTTCCTCATCTTTAGTCCTTTTGCTACACTTGGTTCATGGTCATGTCATTTATTACCTTGATTATTGCCATAACCTTCTTGCTAATGTTTCTTCCTGCTATTCATCCTCCAGACTACAGTCATGGTGAGCTTTGTAATGCTTAAATCTCACCATATGACTTCCCAGTTTAAGTCCTTCAGTGAGTCCCCATGTCTTACCTTAGGGCCAGACATGTTTTTCTTTAAAGACACCCTCAACACCGGAGGAGATGAACTTATGCCCTATGTGGAAGTCTTTACAGGAGCTACAAGCACAACATTTCTGCAAAGTTTCTGTATTTTAGTTTAAAAATTTATAATTTGTATTTCACTCATTTATATCACTATTCATATTTTCATATTAAGATAAAAGTAATGGGGCTGGGATTGTAGTTCAGTGGCAGAGCACTTGCCTCACACATATGAGGCACTGGTCAGCACCACATAAAAATGAAATAAAGGTATTGTGTTCCTTGACAACTAAAAAAATATTTTTAAAAAAAGATAAAAAGTTATGACTTTCCAAAAAAATCATCAAGTAAAATTCATGTTTCAGAAGATAACGTGTATTCTCCAAGCTCTTACGGGAGTATTATTGCCACTTATTGCAGTTTGAGAACAAGGGACCTACAGTTAAAGTAAAAACCATTTTCTACTAAAATTTTCTCAGATTGGGTTTCATTTTATTCCACTATCACCGCATGCACTGCAACCTCTACCATACCAAATCTCATAGTTTGTCAGACAGACCAGGTTTTTTCTGCTTTTGCATGTGTACCCTTCTTTGTTTTTTAATATTTTTCTTCTTTTAATTTGTTTTAATTAGTTACACATGACAGTACAATGATCTTGAAATATCATATATTTGAATCAAATGGGATATAATTTCTCATTTTTCTGATTATACAGGTGACAGAATCACATTGGTCATGCAATCACATATATACCCACAGCAATAATAATGTCTATTTTAATATTTTTCTTTAGTTGTAGATGGACACAATGTCTTTACTTCATTTATTTACCTATTTAATGTGATGCCTCACGCATGAGAGGCAAGTTCTCAACCACTGAGCTACAATCCCAGCCCCGTATGTACCCTTCTTGATGAAGACTTTTTCTCTGCTTGGAGAGCTCTAACTCAGTCTTTTGTCTTTAGAGTCATTTACTATTCTGATCTCTTTGTGATAACATCCCCACTTTCTTGCTCCTGGGACATCTCCAATAACCCACTTACTTCCGTAGAATAATGCCTTCCTTTCTAGCTTGTGCAATTACAAGGACAAGATCATATTTTATTCTCCCTTAGAATAATGTCTGAAATTCAATAACTGGATTGTATGAAAAGGTCAATTCTAAACTCAAATGAAAGTGATGACCTCTAAAAGCATGTGACTAGCCAGTGCCTAACATATTTCAGAGCTGTTGTGGAAGAATTCTTACTTGGGTGGCAAGTTATGCCTAAATATTTGTTATGGTATCATTCAATTTTGATAGTGAAATAGAAGAGCTGAAAACATTTAACATTTAAATCCATTAACACTTGTTTTTAAACTGAACACATACCTTGAAAATACATTGATCACTTAACCATTTGAAATTTTTCTTATCTTTATCAATGCCACATGAACTTCAATTTCAGAATAGTAAATAACAATCTATTTCAATTCATGATAGTTCATGATAGTCTGTTAATAATAATGTAATGGGCAGGTACTGGGGTTGTGGGTCAGTGGTAGAGCACTTGCCTTGCACGTGAGGCACTGAGTTCGATCCTCAGCACCACATAAAAATAAATAAAATAAAGACACTGTGTCCATCTAAAGCTAAAAAATAAAATAAAATAAATAAATAAATAATGTAATGGGCATACACGTGTCCTACTTTGAAATAATATTCTGTAACTTTTACAATTTTTATCTAAAGTATTGATAATACTTTGGAATTTGCTAAACTTCTTTCTTTGCATTCCAGCTTCCTTACGCTCAGAACTAAATCATCAACATGCAGCTGCAATTGATTTGTTACGGCATAATCATCATCAAGAATTGGCAGCTGCTAAAATGGAATTAGAGAGAAGCATAGACATCAGCAGAAGACAGGTAAGTGAAAATATTCTGTTCAGAAATGATTTCTGAAATATGAGTAAACCGAATTTTCACAATTTTTTGAAAATTATTTTGCAACCAACATCATTTTCACTAGTTACAGTTTACTATGTATTGAATAGTTTTGTTTTTCAAGGGAAGTAAATGATTCTATTCTATTCAGTATACTGAACACAAAATTATATTTTTTTTAACTTTAATTGAATTTTTTGAATTTTATTCACATGTTTGGAAAGTGAACAATGAAATATAATCTAAGAGTGAGGATAATACTACCCCAAAGAACTAACTATCCATGGTGGTGTACTATTTGTGTGTGTGTGTGTTGTCATCATAGCAGTCAGTAGTCATTGAGGCTAAATATGTCTTGTGCAACCAAGAAACTACATTTTCAGTTTTATTTAATTTTAATTAATTTAAACTTGACTTTAAAAACGTACATTAGGTGGCACAGCTATAGAAGGAGTAGTTGCTCAAGGAGAAAAAGAACAATTTATATTTCTATAGCTTTCTAGCGAGCTACTGTTTATACTTGTAAAACACTGTTTTCTGACCCAGTGTACTTTCCCTTTAATTAGGTAGTTTGTGAACTTGAATGTGTATATATCTGGATGGATGGATTTTTAGGCACCATGCAATAAAAGCTGTTTTTTATTAGTTTATTAGATTTATGACTTTTACTTTGTCAGTTTTCACCTGTATTAAACGTTCAGACCAAATTTTCTTTTCATTGCTAGGGAGTTTTAGATGCACACTTTATATTAACCATGGAGGCAGATTATATTCTCTTTCAATCGACACTGAAATTGACAGTATCTAGGCCTACAGTACTTATAGAAAACAGTGACTTTTAGGAAAATGGAAGGTAACTTATTTATCAGATAACTACGAGACCAGCACTAAAGGGGCAAAGTATGATTTAAACACCATGAGATATGTGCATGAGTTGGAGGACTTCTATAGATGTAGATCCTTTTTAGATTAAAGGACAATCATACCAACATTTTACTGCAAGACCATATAAAGCTTACTAAGTAAGAGACTTGTACTCTATTCTCAGCTCTACCATTGATTACAAATTACCTTTGGCCAAATTATCTCTTAGGTATTGGTGTCCTTATTTATAAAAAGAGAGAGCTGTGCGTTTGTGATCTTTTACGTCTCTTGCAGCCCTGATTTTATTGAAATTGTAACCATAGAAGTATTTCTTAGATATAGGGAAAGAGAAGGAGGGATTGATGTTTTTCCATTTTAACAGTTTGCTTTTGAAGTATATGAGAATGATTACATTTAGCATGCTAGGATGACATTTTCCTTCCTTCCTTTAAACACAGAAAGCCAATAGGTAAAAAAACTTTTCAGAATTATTTGTGTTTTACAGAATAAGGAGCACATGTGTAGAATAACAGATCTGCAGGAGGAATTACGGCACAGAGAGCATCACATCTCTGACTTGGATAAGGAGGTACAGCACCTTCATGAGAACATAACTGCCCTCACCAAAGAATTGGAATTTAAGGGGAAAGAAATCCTCAGAATACGAAGTGAATCTAACCAACAGATGAGGTATGCTGATAATTACAACAGAAAGAATATACAGTATTATCTAAAGGATGGTTGCAGTGATAGTTAGAAATATGTGCCTATTTTTGCAGCTACATGGACTTTTAGTAAGATATTGAAAACCACTTTTTCTTTATTTGATGACTATGTTATAACCCAGAATATAGATGAAATGTTTGTATTTTGAATTATATATATTATGTATTCACTAACTTTGGAAATTGTGTACATAATTAACTAAAGTCTTTTAAAAATGTTATTAGTAAAAGCATTAAAGGAGACAACTTTAACATAAGCTAGAAGATTAGTCACTTAAATTAGGCTGTTTATGTTACGTTTTCATATATTTTCCAAAAAAATTCAATTCTGGTAGAATATAGAAAGTATTGAAAGCTCGACTTCAGAATAACATTTTCTTAACTAAAAATAAATTAAACAGGTTGCATGAACAAGATTTAAACAAGAGACTTGAAAAAGAGCTGGATGTCATGACAGCAGACCATCTCAGAGAGAAAAATATCATGCGGGCAGATTTTAATAAGACTAACGAACTACTCAAGGAAATAAATGCAGCTTTACAAGTGTCGTAAGTCATATTATGTTAAAGAAAATTCATGTTTAGATAATAAACTGAGGAACATTGTTTCTAAGCTCTGATTAGCTACTCTTTTGAATCTAATAAAATGATACTTAAAAAGGAAGAATAAGATGGTAATTGTAGTGTGATACGTTCTTTCATTAGGATAAGGCAGTTAAATGATTTTGTTTCATCAGCTGCTATTGCTACATTTCTTCCAAGACAATACTTACTATAAGAATGTCCCTCACAGGACACTGATATTATGGCAACAACTCAAAATATATTCATTATGTATGTTAAGTAAAAAAACCATATTATGGTCAATAGGAATGTCATAATACTATGCACACAATAATAATACATATCTTATAAAAATAAAAATATCCTAAAAAACAAATACAAACTTTGGGGAGTAGAATAGGAGGTACTAAGGGTGGGAAAAACTTTTTCTTTTAAATAATCCTCTAGGTATTGCTAGAATTTCTACAACAAGCATTTAATTGTTCTACAATTTTAAAAATCCGTAATGGAAAATCATTACTTATGACATTACTACTGATAACATGGTTCCAGTGTTGTTAAAATCAAAATTTCTAAACATTACTTAGTATTCCTTAAAAAATATTTTTAACCACTTCTAGATACTTATAAACTGGGCTAGTTAAGGCAACTTGTATTCAGTTCATCTTTGTGACCTAAAGCCTGGTCCACTTATAGGTTATTTTAGAATTAACTAACTCTAAAATCCCTCTAATGGCTTATTCACCTTATGTCTCTCCTCTTCCAATTTTTAAAAGTTCATATACCTATATTTCACATTAATAAAATCATAATTAGTGACTAATCCCATTACCCTTAGAGTCGAAATCAAACTTGAACTTAGTTCCAATAGACCTTATTCCGCATCATCAAATAACAGCTCTAGGCTTCTTGGTGACCATGTCCTGAGCTACTTTCCTCCCTCACATGCTTCTGCCATGATATGCTGCCTCATCTCAGGCCAAAGCAATGGAGTTGGCTGACTCTGGACTGAGGCCTCTGAAACTTGCCGGGAACTGATGCTTTGCAGTGCTGGGGGGCCTTTGTGTCCATTAGGCAAGTGCAGTACCACTGAGCTGCGCCTCCAGCCCTGGGTCAGTTTTTTCTTCACACTTGCATACAGGAACTCCCAATAATGGGAAACTCATGGAATGGCCCCAAGTAAAGGTTTACATTATCAACTCAACAAAAAGGGGTGGTTTAGGGCTTCAATAGGAAAATATGGAAGATTCCTTTTGTAAGGTCTTCGCTTAGCAACTAGATGGCCATCTTAAGTGACAGCCGCCATTTTAAGAAAACCTTTGCTTTCTTGCCCAAGGGCCTTTCTGAGAAAGGCTCACCACTCCCTCTTACCAACCCAACCCTTCAACCCAACCCAACCCTAAGGCATATCACCACTCCTTCATACCAACTCCACCCTTAACCGCCTGCCTTAGGACCCCCTGTCTCTAATCCCTGAACCTGCCCCATAGAATTCCCAAACCTCAAGCCCCTATTGCCTCTCTCATCTATGGAGAGATGTGCCTTTATCTGTCAACTCTGACAAATAAACTCTCGTGTGTATCTCTAAAAAATAATAACAATAATAACAGCTCTATGTCCTGTCTGCTGTCTTTTGTATCAGCCAAGCCAACTTTCTCAGTTTCCTTCTAAGAGTCTCCTGTGTTGTCCTCTAAAGTCTGGAATAACCACCTATATTCTTACTATCTGATTACCTTCCTCAAAGCTAAAATGTCTTCTTCTGTTTCATCCATGTCAGCAATTCAGTCAATATTGTTACTTATATAAGTGCAAGCGCGCTACATTCTCTCTCTCTCTCTCTCTCTCTCTCTCTCTCTCTCTCTCTCTCTCAGAAAAGACAGACCCCTGGTCATTGGCATTTACTTGCATGTCCTCTGAGGTGAGGTGCTCTTTCTGTTGGACACAGTCATAATCTTCACATCAGTAGGCACTCAGTGAATGGTCATGAATGAATTTTTTGAAGATTCCCCATCATATTAAAGTTTTTGAAGGTTTACTTTTTGAAGTTTCCCTTGAAATCATGAGAGACTTAGGTTATTATTTCCTTGATCACAGTAATTTTGATGATTGCTATTGTTACAATTTTTAAAGCCTTTTGAGCCACAGTAAAAGCTCAAATATCTGCCTTGAAGAAGAGGTTATAACCCCATGCATTCCGCAGAAATGAGAAGCAATAAACCTCTATGATGTCACTATCGCTGTTTCTAGCCTCATTTTGTTTACTGGGCAGAGACTGAAATCTTGCCATCCCCTTCTTCCTACTCTGAAAAAAAAAAAAATGCTCACAAAAAGAAAACACTTTTGTCTGTGTGTCCTATCCCCTTGAGAAGGTTAATTTATAAAAAGTAAAGTTTGTGTCAAATGAATATTGAATACTTGAGCTTCAGCTAATATAACAGAAACTGAATTTTTAATTTCATTTTAATTAATTTGAATGTAAATAGCTTCATATCAACTAGTGACTACTATATTAGCACAGTTTTTAAAGTTTTGGACACTTCTGGCCACATTCTTAAATGCAGCCCTCTTGGATCTGCTGAGTAGTTTGTAGTTGGGTAATGAGCAGAGACAGTCCTTCCTAGTTTGTGGAGCTGGAGAAAGAAGAGCTGAACCATTCCCAGCCTGTTCCAAAGGACTAGGGTCACCTTTTGAAGTTCCTAATTAATGCCTAGGTTTTAAAACTTCAAAATCAGGAAAACCCATGGATTCTTTTTTTTTTTTTTTTTTTAATTTTTTAATATTTATTTTTTAGTTTTCGGCGGACACAACATCTTTGTATGTGGTGCTGAGGATTGAACCTGGGCCACACGCATGCCGGGCGAGCACGCTCCCGCCTGAGCCACATCCCCAGCCCCAACCCATGGATTCTTAGAAGGTGTTGGTGAAGGGCTCAAAGCAATGTGGGTCAATCTTTTAGGCCAAAGCATGGAGCTGAGGAAACTCTGAAGCAGCTGCAAGTTGCTTCCTCCTGCTGCTGCCCCAGCTCCTGCTGGACTCCAGGGAAGAATGGGTTGTCTCTTATGGAATGATTATTGGAAATCTTCTTCTATAATGTTGGGTATTAAAGTCCTTTTAGATTTTCGGACAGTTTTATAAAAATTTTATTTTCTTTAGTATATTGTATCTATTTTAATAAGAACCTTTGTATATAATTAAAATGTCTTGTTTTTTGTTTTAATGAGAGAACAGGCTATTCAATTTTACCTAAATGATGTATTATGGCAGATCTTTATTGTGCAAAAAAAACAAATGGATTAGAGATTATTACTGATTGTTTAGGTTTACTTTACATTCACTTCTTACTGTACTGAACAAAAAAAAAAATCATTTCCTTATGAAAGAAATGTTGAATCTGTACTTGGACTTTAAATAGGTCAGTAATTGCTAATTAAAATAAAACACTCTACCATACCATAATTCCTTATTATTTAAAAGTTTAGCTCCTTTTATCTATGATACCACAACAATTTTGTTTGATTTTTATTATTCAGGTGGTTTTCATGAATTTGTGGAAAGTGAGGAAGTAGTATTCTAGTCCTATTGTTGTAAATCAGAGTCTTTGCTCTGAGTTTTTTGGAAAAGTTCATTATTAAAATGCTTAAGTACTATATTTTCTTTACTTGGCATAATAGATTTCTTTCATCTCTATAAACTTAAATTCTAGAATACATACGTGCCTCCTAATATTGTTGTTTAGCTCTAAAGCCTTAATTCACTGCTTTTTTTTTTTTTTTTTTACAAAACATAACGGGGGGACTATTTCTGGTGAAATATTTTGTACAGGTTTTTAGGCATTCAGATCCTATGCCTTTTTTGTTCATTGACTGTACACATTGACCTACATATTCCCAAGACAAAAAAAAAAAAAAAAAAAAAAAATCAGGGCATGTATGCCTGTTGAGAATCCAACAGTGACCCTTAATTAGTAATTTTATGTGTTCTACTTCTCCTTTCTATTCTGTCTTTGTGTTACTTTTAATGGGAATCTTTAATTTAAATAGAAGGTTGTGTGTACATGTATGGTCTCCTCAAGGAAATGTTTTCCAGGCTTTAATCATTCTTTTTTTTTTTTTTTTAGGAGAGAGAGAGAGAGAGATTTTTTTAATATTTATTTTTCAGTTTTCAGTGGACACAACATCTTTAGTTTTTATTTTATGTGGTGCTGAGGATCGAACCCAGCACCCAGCGCATGCCAGGCGAGCGTGTTACCTCTTGAGCCACATCCCCAGCCCCAAGCTTTAATCATTCTTATACAACCTTTAGGCATTTGGTCCTTTCTGGCTACCTATACTATTATTTTTTTAATACTTTTAAGTTATTCATTTTGACTTAAAAATTTAACAGGATAATATTTGATATTCCTGTGGTAGCACTATAGTAAAACTATGATCACTATTGAAAACAATCTTACCCATTCTCTAAGTAGGAGTTAAACTCTAATTGTGCAAATGTAAATTCTGTGAAAATAAAATAGTTCTATTCTAGCTAGCCTTAATGCTCAGGGTCTGCCTGAGTGTTATAAAATGGAGTAAAAGCATATGTTAGAAGACCAGTTATGATATATAGAACCAAACAGGCACTCTCCTTCATGTGATCAAAAAGATTAAAGAGCAAACAAAGAATCATTTCATAACCAGTCAGTCAGTCATAGCTGGTCTTGGAGAAGCCACGCTGGTTTAGAGAGCTTCCTGGATACCTGAAACAAGGGAAAATGTTGATTAGGGTTGGCTTGAAGTACATACCATAAGAGAACCAAGATTTCTCTCCATTTGAATATTGAAAATAATAATTCTAGAGGTAGATCTGCAAGTTAAATCTGTATCCTATTACTCGTTCTCTCCTTTAATGCTTTCCCTTTTGTATTTATATAGCTTTTTTTTCTGATCCATCATTTTTTCTCTTTAATATCCAGGCACCTTTTTATTAAAATGTTTTGGAAATGTAAAGATAGTTTGTGGAGGGGATTAACTGTGATAATTCTGTAGGTAATGAATGTTTATGCTCAATAAGAACATGCACTAGAATGTGGGTTCAGCACAGACCTTTATTATGCAGTGAAGGAGGTTCAGAGGTTTCAACTGATTTATATTCACTTTACCTTAACTTCTCAATGCACTAGAAATAATAGTTTTAAATAATAAATAATGGAACTAAAAAGAAATAATAGTTTTAAATAAGGCTGTCAATTTAGCTTTTTAACTACCATTTATATCAAGTATTCTTATTCAGTACAGGAAGCAGCTCACAAGTTTTGTACTTTGCTTGTAGTGATTAAAATAAAGTACTCCAGTGACATCTTGTGGCTACCCCAGCATAAAGCCCAAATGTCATTTCCTTGAAGAGATAGTATTTCTTAACCTTCCTAAAATCATTGCCCATAAAATACGTAAGAATAAACCCTTCCATATCATGATGTAATGGAGGGCCACTTTGCGCGAGCTCAGAGAATCACATTAGTTTTCTCTTAGTCTGCATTGTCCCAAAAGAGTAAAAGTATAGATAATAAAAGATCCTTAGGTGGTTATTTTCTAACCCCATGTTCCTCATCACCCTTAGCCCTCCACACATGACAGATTAGAGCTTCAGTCAAGGCTAGGTAGGTAGCCAAATGTGTTATCTTCAAATCTTTAGCTTAGACTGAGTTGAGGAGGGCTTTTACTCCTAGTACCCTTCTGGTATTTGAGAATAGTGATGCAGGGATAGATCACTGGTTTCTAGATAATCATTTAGAAGTCACTCAATATTTATTGAGTGAATAAACTTTTCTATGAATCTTCATTACCCATGACTTAAGCTTAAATTCTGTCCTTTATATTCTGAAAACAATAAAAATGTTTAATAATTCTAATTATTTATATTTTCTAAAGCTGAAAGTGCTTTTTTCTTTCAAAACAAACCAGAAGTTTTCATTTACATTCATTTTAATCTGCCCTGTCCTATTTCTCAGACCTCTGATTTATTCTTCAGTGGCATTCAATCTTATTGCCATCTTTTACCATTCAGGGAAAAAATAGGCCTACAAAGAAAGAAGATTCTTCTTTTACTTGAAGAACCTTTTTTTTCCCACTGTTATTTGTATTGGCTGATATAGAATTTTTAAACTGCATTTCTCATAAATAAGGAGAGAAGTATGTCATATATGTGTGTGTTTTCATTTCCATTTCTGTGTATATTTTCTTGTTCCTTTTATATATGTCACCAAACCTTATGTCATCTCACAATATTGTATTTATGGTAACTGAGCCCAATAGTAAACCTGTATTGCTAGCATTAAACCCATGTTTGTTAGGTTAGTATCATTCAGCATGTCATTTCTTTTGCAGACTTCACCTCACCTTACTTCACTTCATCTCTGGATATTCTTCAGTGACTTAAAATGAGCAAATTCTTCCAAAAGTAACCTGCAAAGCATTAAATGTTATCTGTCCCTGCAAAGCTGTTAATATAACACTATATATAGCTCTTGAGGCAAATCATATGATTAGGTTTGAAAGTTTTTTTATTACAAAAAAAGGGTTTTTTTAATTTTTGTGTTTGTTTACCTGGACTAATTGGAAACTAGGTTATTACAAAAAGATGTGTTTGAGTCATATCAATGAGCTAAAGGTTTTCTTGTTTTTAGACTAGAAGAAGTGGAAGAAAAATATCTAAAGAGAGAATCAAAACCAGAAGATATACAGATGATTACAGAACTAAAAGCCATGCTTACAGAGAGAGACCAGGTCATAAAGAAACTAATTGTAAGATATTTTATTTTTGGTATAGCCCTGTTATTTATCAATAGACTGTTGTTTGGGAAAACATGGGGAATATTTTTAAGTAATTCTAAATGAAAACGAAAAGTACAGAATATCTCCATTGCATACTGAACGTTTAACATGTCAAGTATTAAATATGTCATTACCACTAAACACTTAATATACCAGTGAAGTATATCTATGTATGTGTATTATACATATAGAATTAGAACTGGCTGGGAAGGAACAGTTAACACATCCATGCACAGTTTAGGAAATCATGTTAATTTCCTAAACTGTGTTCCACCACACACTGATCCAGAGATGCTATATAAAAAGGATTCCATGGTCTCTTGTGGACTCAATAACATAGAGGTGCCAAGGGCCCTGAGAAGGGTGTCTGGGAAGAAAATACAGATTGAACAATAAATAAATGTCCTTCATTAAAGCCATTTTTCCTTAAGGATGAAAAAATATACAAGTGTTTTAAAATTTATAAAACATTTCAGAGTCTTCTAAAATATGTCAATAATTAAAATACTGCTTTTTACTGCTACTAGTAAATGAACATTTTTAAAAGTAAAACAAGAAATATAATCCTAATCACTGTACATGTTCATTGATTTATTCAACTAAAATCTTTAGATATTAACATACAAAGAGAGCATTGAGAGTAGCATTTATTTCTTAAGTCCTTTTATTAAAAGTATATTTCTTGGGCTGCAGTTGTGGCTCAGTGGCAGAACACTTGCCTAGCACGTGTGAGTAACTGGGTTCAATTCTCAGTACCATGTACCAATAAATAAAATAAAGGTCAATTAACAACTAAATATGTGTGTGTGTGTGTGTGTGAGAGAGAGAATTTAGGAAACTCGTCCTGTTTTCTGGATCTAGAAGTACCGCTGAAAACAAGAGGGTAGATTAGGTTCCATAGATGGAACTTGGGAGGAGGCCTTGGGTAAATAGTGTGGTACACTGCTTCTATCCACCAATCACCCAGTGTTGTAAGCATCATACACATGAGCACAGTCTTCATAGATAGCTCTATCTTATAGCTTTAGACTCATGGAAAATTACTATCTTTTCACACATGCAATTAGCAGTTTTGATAAATATATTTTATGGTCCATAAAGTAGCTATTGGTTTTCCAGTTCTTACTCAGGAGGGGTATTACAGAAGCATAGTTTATCTTCACAGAAGGGTAGGTTTTAGGCATTAAAGAATAAAGAAACTTTCCAAAGCAACACAGTCAGTCACTAGCAGGGCCAGAAATGCAGCCAAGATTGTTTCACCCTCATGAACACCATAGTTCTGTAAGACTTAAATGACAGTCAGTAGTAAATAAGAGGAAGATGAAGGATCTAGTACTGCTAGATTCCAATAGAATCTAGTTCTACTAAAGCACAACCCTAAATTCTCACCCACACTCTTCTACTTGTTGTCCTTACTCATTGAAGCCAAAGACAAAGGTTTTATATGGTCCATTCATTTTTTCCCCTGTTGCCTTTGATAAAATACAGTGGTATCTCAAAGAAAAGGTTAGATGAGATCAAGTATTGAAGAATAATGATATGTCAGAGAGTCATCTTCATATATAGAAACAACTCATCCATACACACAGGCCCATAACTATGAGTTAGACCAACTCAAACACCACATTCAGCCCTGTGAAACAGAGATGAGATCAAATAAAACACTTATATCTGGTCTCGAATGAAAAGACATTAAGGGTAAAGTTGAGACCCTGAGCATAGGGTTAAAAAGTGTTGAAAACTTACCTACCAGAAACCTTTAAGACACCAACATCAGGTCTAGAAATCTTTGAACAAGGTATATAGGTTTTATACTAAATTTTGAATGAAACAGCATTTATACGTTTAAGTTTCTAAATACTCAACAGAAATGTTGAAAAGATGTTTATAATTCTTTTGCACAGGAGGATAATAAATTTTATCAGCTGGAATTAGTCAATCGAGAAACTAACTTCAACAAAGTGTTTAACTCAAGTCCTACTGTTGGTGTTATTAATCCATTGGCTAAGGTATGTACTATAAACACTGTAAAACAGGGGCATGACTTACACTTGATTAAAAATTTACTAAATTATTTGGAGAGGCAAAGAATAGAAATCTCAAAAAATGATTTTTTAATTTAATAATCTGGCACCAGAATTTATGAGTTCTTTATTAGTTTCAGAATGAAACTGTTTAATATTTATTTGATATGCCTTAAAATATTTTACTAATAAAACCTTTGTTCTATCTTTTTGTTTTTTGTATTTCCAAAGGAAAAAAAACTACTAACTCTCTTTTTGTAGATTTCTTATCATGTCCTTACTGATCACAATCCTTCATGGGGTCCAGAAAGACACTCCAATCTTGGAGACCCATCGCTATCCCTAGCTTAAAGCCTACAGTCTTGGGCTGGGATTGAAAACTCAGTGGTACAGCACTTGCCTCTCACATGTGAGGCCCTGGGTTCAATCCTCAGCACCACATAAAAATAAATAAATAAAAATAAAGATATTGTGTCCATCTACAACTAAAAAAATATTTTTTAAAAAAAACAGCCTACAGTCTTAATGGAATTTATTTTTGTTGTCCAGAAAAGGGCTTTAGTGGGCTGAGCACTTGTCTCACATGTGTGAGGCACTGGGTTCAATCCTCAGTACCACATAAAAATAAATATAGATACTGTGTGTTCATCTACAACTAAATAATTTTTTTAAAAGAAAGAAAAGGACTTTACTTCTTGAGTATCAAAATTAAATATAGCTTATTCTCATACTTTATTACTCTCCTAAGACATATATAGAAGAGCCTTGAAATGGACATGGCTAGATCTTATACTTTCTTTTACCCCAGTTTCCATGCCTCTGATTATCGTGCTTTGACTACGTGGGTATTCAATGAATATTTGTTTAGTTGCAAAATTTCAACATTTTTTCGTCAATTCACCATATATTATTCTGGAAATAAAGCAATGTATATCATAATAAATAAATAAATGTATATCAGCTTCCCAGGAGTTATGAATCTTTGGGGAGAAATCAGTAGTAGAATAAATAAAAGTGCTAATGATAAAGTTATTTTTTCTTCAGATTTTATTAAGTTTCTCATCATGATAATTTCTAGTAGGCCCTTACTCACAAATTTTGCTTCCAAAGCTCTTAAAACTTCTCTGTTAAGAACACTGAACCCATCCTTCTTTTTACAAGTTAAAATGCTTCAAACTTTGAACTTAAAAGTGTTTTGTGCAGTTAAATGACTAAAGTAGAGAAGCTTATAGCTGTTATCTCTAGAACCTTAAATACTTCCTGACTTAAGAAATTATATAGACAGTTCTGAAGAAATTAACAGGTGGATGGATGGATAGAATTATTTTTAAAGTGATAATTTAGGGTTGCATAACCTTTTTAGTTGTAAATCAAAATTATAAGACTTGTTGAATTAAGACATTAGAAATATGTTTTCATTTGTTATTTTATTGGAATGAAAAATTTCAACTATAAAACCATTACTGTAGAACTTCACAAAGGATGCTTTTGGTTTCTTAAAAATAGAGTACTTAGTATGCCCTCTGGTGATTAGAATAAGAAAATGCAAGATAGATTTATAAGAACTTCTCAGCTACATTTGATCCCTAACAATGACTTCAGTTTTCCCAAATAGTTCTGAAGAAGGTATTACTCTTCCTTCTTTTTATTTTTTAACAATAATGTTAAAATAGCCTCCTTGTCATACAATCTGTAAATCACAGAATATGACACAAAGGAAAATGTCTAGGTAGTGAGAAAATTACTTTATAATAAGTGAAAGAAAAGTACTCTTGTGTACCCTAATTGTATTTTTTCAAACTCAAGTCATTTTGAGAGAAAATCATAAATTTAATTAGCATACATCTAATTATTAGAAAGTAAAAATATTCTAAATATCTTTTAAAATTTTTTTAGTTGTAGATGGACATAAAACCTTTATATATTTATTTGCATGTGGTGCTGAGGATTGAACCTAGCCCCTTATACTTGCCAGATAAATGCTCTACACGTAGTAGTTTTTATTCTGCATAACAATATTATACTCATTGATTCTAGAAGTATGAATAAAATATTTTGAAACTAAAAGATAATGATTTGCAAGCTGCTAGGTTTTTGACAGTCTGCAATTGTATTCTTTTTATCTCTGTTAATTTTAAAGACTGATTAAAATTTTATGTAAGAGAAACATTGACTGCTGGGCATGGTGGTGCACACCTGTGATCCCATTGGCTTGGGAGGCTGAGACACAAGGATCACAGGTTCAAAGCCAGCCTCAGCAACAGCGAGGTGCTAAGCAACTTGGAGGAAACACTATCTCTAGCAAAATACAAAATAGGGCTGGGGATGTGGCTCAGTGATCAAATGCTCCTGAAAAAACAAAAAAGGGGGGAAAAACATTGATTACTTTTGTTTTCTAAACTTTAAATTAAAAAAAAAAATTATGAGCCAGCCAAAGCTTCTGCCAATTAATTGAGAAATTAAACTGTTTTACAGATTTAATTTTATTTCCTGAGAAAGCTGTCACAGTGAATTTAAAACCAAATTATCTCTCTGAGGTTTAGGTCTTAAATAGAAATGTGAGATTTGTTTCAAACTACATTACCAAGTATTTTCTCACTCCTTTTTTTTTTTCCAGGCAAGAACTGCCTCCCTTTGACAGATGATTAAAGTTCATGGACTTCTCTTTTAAAATTATTTTTGACTTTATTCCTTCTCCTAATTTTAGCCTAAATCCATGTAACCTGATGATATCTGCAAGACCTACTCTTTCCCCAACTTGTTTCCCTTTTTCCTTCCAATATTCTCTTTTCCTTTCCACATCCTTCTCCTCCCCTAATTTGACAATTAGTGGTTCACAATTAGGAATGAACCACTCCTGAATGTTTCTACCTCATTCTTTCTGTCCTGGTAGCATGTCTGTCTTTGAGGATTCCATGTAGATAACACTTCTAAGGATCCCCAGACCACACTTTGGGTAACACTGGTTAATTTTTAACATCCTAATTTAATATATACAAAGCTTTCAAAATTTTCCCATGCCAAATTTACATCTTCTACTGTTGTACTGTTCTTATTTTCTCATTTGTCCTTATGCAGGGACTGTCCTCACATGTATTATTTTTAAAACAGCAAAAGAAGAAGAATGATAAATCACCAACAAACAGGTTTGTGAGTGTTCCCAATCTAAGTGCTCTGGAATCCAGTGGAGTGGGCAATGGACATCCTAACCGCCTGGATCCCATTCCTAACTCTCCAGTCCACGATATTGAGTTCAACAGCAGCAAACCACTTCCACAGCCAGTGCCACCCAAAGAGCCCAAGACATTTTTGAGGTGAGCCCTGTCTCACCAGTTATTTTTTTTTCTTTTCTTTTTTAACTTGAGAAAATTTATCTTCTTACATTACAGAAATCCACTACTCTAGGAACATCCTAAGAAAAGAAATATTACTGTGAAATATTTTTAAAATATTTATATCACCTCTCTAGTGAACTCCCTTTTTATTCTGTTCAAAGAATTTTTTTTATTTTACTGTCAATCCATTTTCAAATGATGGAAGAGGTGTTCATGTAATTCACGTATTTAGCATTTTAATATTTATGGATGAATTTGCTTCATTTTTAGTATTATCACCAGTTTTTTATTAATAATCTATCCTTATTGCAGAACTTTAAAATAATTTTTATTAGTTGGTTTTGTTTCTTATATTTTTTCTTACCTGTTTACCAGACTTTTTGTATATGAATCTCTGTAGAACTATTGATTAAATGTATTAATGAGTTAATTTTTAAGTGAAGTGCAGCTATCCAGCCATTAGATAAAGGCAGAAAAATGCATTTGTTTTATGCTCACCTTACTACAGCTTTTTTAAAGCTCCTTTAAGTTCAATATTTTTTATTTTTATAATTTTAAATTTTAAAGACTGTAAATGTCAGGTAGTACCACTAATAAGAGTCTTACAAGTATAGAAGAGTTTTCTTTAAAACTAAGTGATTTATGATGTAGCTAATGACTAATTTTAAATAGTGAAAAATAATCAAATAACATCTCTGAATGTGACTTCTGCTAAATACTTTGTGTTGCTTATTTTCCTTTGTGCATGGGTACGTTCAGGTATCAGTAAGATGCATGTGCATGAGCTCAAGGAACATGACTACTGGAGTTTCCATTACACATTGTTGCGTGCCTTGTAATTTCCCCCAAAGACGGTAGGGATTCTTTTTTTTCTCAAGTAACCTGAAGAATCTTTAGTTAAAATTAAGATAGTATAAATTACGTAACTTTGAAGACAAAGACTATTTTTAATGCACTCCTTTTCTTGGAGTATCTGCTTATAGAATTATGTAATGAAAGTCTAATATAAATATGCAAATAGTAAAAAATACTATACCTTGACTTAGTTACTTTAATTCAATTATATATAAGGACATATCTGTGAAAATCAAATGTTTTTGTCAGATTCTGAAATTTTAATTAACTAAAGGGATAAGGTGCTCAAAGAGAATGTTATTTTATTCTCTCTTAATTCCCACAATTTTTCCAGAAATTTTTTTCAAAGGTGACATTATTTTTCTCAATTGTTTTTTGGGTTTTTTTTAATATTTGTGATGGGGCTCCTCCTTAACTGACTGATGCACTCTGGCCCTCTCATGAGTGGAGAACTGATCATAGTGTAGAGGGAGTAGCAAGTCATTAAAACATAGCTTCTGACATGGGGAACCAGTTGGGAAAATCTACATTGATATTTTATGTGCTTTTTCCCTTTATTTTGCAAAACCTCTTAATGTTGGGTTACATTCTCTCTTTTTGTGAATTCAGTCCTCCTCAGAGTGAAGCTTCCCCGGTGGCTTCTCCAGATCCCCAGCGCCAGGAGTGGTTTGCCCGGTACTTCACGTTCTGAAAGAATTGTGTTGACACAGCTCTGTGTGGACTGTTACTAAGAGCATGACTTTATACAAATCCTTATGTGAACAGGCTTTCCTGTGTCAAACACTGTGAATGAGAAAGTATTTGTTTTCCAATTTAAAAATCCACTGTATTTCCTGTCATATTTATTGGAATCACTCTATAAGGTACTATAATATGTGTGTAATTATAGCAGTTATTTTTATTTGAGATGGAAGAGTCTTTAATCTTTGTAATTACTGCATAATAAATTTTGTTAAAACAAACAAGAATTCTTTCTTTTTTCTATTAAATTTGCTTCCATTTTTAAATACTTTTTAAATTCCAAGTGAGACTTAACAAAAAAAGTATATTGCATTAATGATTATGAAATCAAGTTATTTGACTATTAATTATAACAAAATGTGATAATTCATTATTATGTATAATTTTAACTAAATTGTTCAAATTTAGAAGGCTAGAATTGAAGCATTTGTGTAAATTCTGGACTTTGAAGAATGTAAAATAAAACATTATTTTAGTAATGCATATTTTTGAAGAATCTGGGTGAACTTGATTAATACAAATAATACATGACCAATGGGTGATTATAATAATGTTAAATACCAACTTTTTTAAAATGGTTACATAATAGCCTGTGCTAAGGAGCAGTGTAAGGATTATCTCATTTACACCTCATAAAATCCTGAAGGAATAAACCATTGCCTATGAGTTTGCACAGTTGATATCTATCTCTGTTATTTTCCTGGAAAAATGTTTCTACAAAATACTTAATTTGAATTGGGGTTTTCTTTCCCTTTAACTAAAAAAAAAAAAAGAAAAATGAGTTTATGCTTATTGTATTTATTTATATTTTAGATTTTAAATATTTTACATATTTTTATTATAATTATACATAATATGAGGGTTCATTGTTACATAGTTATACATGTTCACAATATAACCATATGATCTGATTCATATTGTTGCCCAGAATTTCCCCTTTCCCTTCATCTTCCCCCACCCCCATTCCTTTCCTCTACTTTACTAGTCTCCCTATAATTTTTGTGAGATTCTCCCACCTACATTTCCTTTTCCTTTTCCTCTCCACATATGAGAGAAAACATACAACCCTTAACTTTCTGAGATTGGCTTATTTCACTTAACATAATGCTCTCAAGTTCCATCTATTTTCCCACAAATGACATAATATCTTCTTTATAGCTGAACAAAACTCCATTGTGTATATGTACCACATTTTCTTTATCCATTCATTCATGAAGGACACCTTGCTGTAAACGTGGTTGGGCATATATCACTATAATATGATGACTTTAATTCTTTAGGATACCAAGGAGTTATATAGATGGGTTATATGGTGGTTCCATTCCAAGTCTTTTGAGGAACCTCCATATTGATTTCTATAGTGGTTGTCCTAACTTATAATTCCACCAGTAGGGTAAAACTGCTCCTTTCTCCCCATATTCTCTCCAGCAATTTTTTATTGTTAGCATTCTCAGTGGTTGCCATTCTAAGTGTGATTTGCATTTTCCTAATTTGTTTGCATTTCCCTAATTGCTAGAGATGTTGAACATGTTTTTATATTCTTGTAAGCCATTTTTATTTCTTCTTTTGAGAAGTGACTGTTTAGTTAATTGGCCCATTTATTAATTGGGGATTTTTGTATGTAGCAACTTGTTTTTGTTTTGTTTGGGGAGGTTTACTTAATTATATATTTTTCAGTACTGGGGATTGAACTCAGGGGCACCTTACCACTGAGCTACATCCCTATCCCTTTCTATTTTTGAGACAACATCTCACTAAATTGCTGAGGTTGGCCTTAAACTTGCAATCTTCCTATCTAAGCCTTCCAAGTTGCTGTGATTACAGGCTCACTTAGGTGAACTGCAGGCATGCCCTGCTGGGTGGTAATTTTTTTTTTTTTTTGTATATATATATATATATATATATTGTGGATGTTAATAGCTAGCAGATTTTTTCCCTTTCTGTAGGTTCTCTATTCACATTCTGAATTGTTTCCTTTGCTGTGCAGAAGCTTTTGTAATTTGGTATCATCCATTTTTATAAGTCCTGGTATTATTTCCTCTGAGCTTTAGGGATCTCACTGAGAAAGTTGTTGCTTTTCCCTAGATGTTGGTATGTTCACCCTATTTTCTTCGAGGAGTTGCAAAGTTTCTTTTATCTTTATATTACTTTTGGTAATATGGCCATATTAACAATATTCTCATATCCATGGACATGGGAGTTCTTTCCATATTCTACTATCTTCTTCAGTTTCTTTCTTCAGTGTTCCACAGTTTTTATTGAAGAAGTCCTTCACCACCTTGAATACATGTATTCCTAGGTATTTTTTTTGTTTTGTTTTGATGCTATTGTGAATGTAATCATTCTCCTGATTTCTTTATCAGATTAATTTTAGTTTGAAGTCTGCTTTGTCAAATGGCACAGTAGCTAATCCTGCTTGTTTGGGGGCTCCATTTGCATATTATAATCAGTCTCTATCATTTCACTTTCAGCCTGTGGCTATCATAGTTGGGTTTTGTTTTTTTTAATCCATTATTCCTACCTATGTCTTTAATTGGAGAGTTTAGACCCTTCATATTCAGTGTTATTTATTTATTTATTTGTTTGTTTGTTTATACTGGGGATTGAACCCTGGGACACTCAAACACTGAGTCACATCCCCAGCCCTTTTTATATTTTATTTTGAAACAGGGTCTTACTAAGTTGCTTAGGGGCTCACTAAATTGCTGGGCTCACTTTGAACTCAGAATCTCCTTCCTCTAGCTGGGATTACAGGCATGCTCCACTGTGCCTGGCTATTCAGTATCATTTTAGAGACATGTTTATAAATTTCTGTCATTTTGGCTTATTTATAATGTTTATTATAAATAAACATTTGGCCTTTGGTTACTTACTCTTCAAATGAGATTTGTTCATTTGTGATACTTGGAATTTGTTTTTGATTCTTCCTTCTGTATGTAGTATTTTTTTATATTTTCTATAGTCCTGGCTTAGTAGTCCTGAATTCTTTTATTTTTTGCTTATCTTTGTATGTTTTTATTTCATTAGCAATTCTGGAGGATAGCTTTGCCATAACAATGTTCATTAATGATGTGTTCCAAGCCCTCCTGGATTTCAGAGAGTATGCTGAGAAATCAGAAATAATTCTGATTGGCTTACTTCTACATGTGTCCTGATATTTTTCTCTTGAGACTTTTAGAATTCTGTCCTTGTTCTAAATATTAGGTATTTTAAGTATAATGTGTTGTGGAGATTCTTAGTTCATCTTGTCTATGTAGGGTTCTGAATACCTCCTATATCTGGATGTCCATCTCATTCCCAGGATTTGCAAAATTTTCTTTTATTTCCCTGAAGAAGTTATCCATGCCATTAGCCTAGACTTCATAAACACTCTTTGATCTCAGTGATTCTTAAATTTGGTTTCTTAATTTTGTGCGAGAGTACTTGTATATTCTGGTCATGATTCTTTTCTTTGTTTTTCTTTTTTTCTTTTCATACTATCTGAATATTCAAGGTTGGCCAGTTTGTCTTCCAGCTCTGAGATTCTCCTACATGGTGTACTCTATTAAGAGTGACTTTCAACTGAACATTTTATTTTGATTTATTGTTGTTGTGAAAGCACGGCCCAACTAGCAGATTTCTATGAGGGGCGAAAGAAGATAAGAAAAATAAAGACTCACACACATTTAGATGTTTTTAAAGATAAAGCTGGGTCAGGTGGAGTGCTGCTCTCTGATAAAGAAGCAGGTCAAAAGAGTTACGTCAGCAATCTTCATTTATATATGTCTATCAGGTTAAAGACTATACAAGCATTATGCATTATTCTTTATTCAGGAAAGTTACAAGGCTAACTACATTATGACTTTTTCATAGTTGCATTCTTCAGTTGCAATGGGCAATGTTAGGAGCTTTGTGTAGCTCTGAAGAGAGTCCATTTTTTAAAGTTACTGTTATGTGGGCAGGTTCAGGAGCTGGTGAAACATTGTGGTTGTCTAGCAAGAAAGTTCCTCTGGGGTTAGGGTTGTGGCTCAGTGGTGGAGCACTCACCTAGCACATGTGGGACGCAGGATTCGATCCTACGCACCACATAGAAATGGATAAATAAAATAGAGGTATTTTGTCAAACTACAACTGAAAAATAATTTTTAAAAGAAAAAGAAAGTTCCTCTATTCCCAGAAGCTATGTGCCTGAGCAAGGTCAAGGCTAGCAGAATCTCCTCATGGAAAGCATTACCACAGCAGCTAGGCAACCTGCACCTTTGCACAGAAACATTCCCAGGCACCAGGCATGCCACAGCCATAAGGGCATCAGAGACCCCACATGTAGTATCTTTCTTTTCCAAGATTTCTCTTTGGTTCTTTTTCAGTGGCTTGTTCTTAATGGATTTCTCGATATCCTATATTAACTTCCTTAATTCATTCAGTTGTTTTTCTGTGCTCTCTGGGAATTCCTTGATCATTTTGTATTCATCCTTTTGAATTCTTTATTGATATTTCATCCACTTAGATGTCTTTGAAGTCAGTTGTCCTAAATTAAGAACTTTAGGAGGCCCAGCGGCCCACCGGCATGGTAGACACATCACCCCAACTGGAGGAGGGGTAGAGCCACCGCCCGTGCCTGCAAGGTAGGCAGACCTGCGACCCACTGGCAGAACAGGCCCAGCGGCCTGCCAGCGTGGTAGACACATCATCCTAATTGGAGGAAGAGCCCAGCTGCTGCCCGCAAGGTAGGCAGACAGCACATCCCGGAGAAGGGGCCCAGCGGCCCGCCAGCCTAGTTGAAAGATCACCCCAATTGGAGAAGGGGCACAGCTGCCGCCTGCGCCTGCAAGATAGGCAGACCTGCAACCTGGAGAACAGGCCCAGTGGCCCGCCAGCGTGGTAGACAGATCACCCCTATTGGAGGAGGGGCCCAGCCGTTGCCCGCAAGGTAGGCTGACCACGCAACCTGGAGAAGGGGCCCAGCGGCCCGCCGGCATGATAGAAAGATTACCCCAATTGGAGGAGGAGCACAGCCGCCGCCCACCCCTGCAAGGGAGACTTTGCAACTATACAAGAGCAATATAAATATATAGGGGGAAAATTCAATAACAACAGTTTCAGCAAGCAGAAAGAAACGCAAGCAGTATGAAAAGACAAGGAAAGAAAGGACCATAAGCAATGCAGGTCAACTTAACTTTAGAAGAGGTAATAGCTGCAGCAGACAGAATGTCAGATAAAGAATTCAGGATTTACATG